CAGATTCGTATCAGTAATTGCTGATAAAATGGGTGCAAATTGTCTTGATCAAATCATGAGTGTAAACAATTTGCTAATTAGACTGCTTGAAACTGGCAGTAACGAGATGATGCTTATGCGAGTCATCAGGCAGAGAGGGCGCTTAGTGATTTATCTCCCTGTTGCTGTTTTGCCTCCCTGCAAACACACATGTTGAGACTGATAGACAGCAGCAGGACCCCTTTCCAAAAAGGCTCTGCGTTATACCAACCTTTCTGTAAAGGCTGTGACTTAGAGCAAAGTATCAGATATGATGGTCCACTTCTACAGCCAGGAAAGCTGCACTCAGTGCTMAGATGGGCAGTATCTGTTTTTTTTTGGGTCTCTCTGGTGTTTGTTATACTCCTTTGAGGAGTAACTAAGTCAGACAAACTGCTCTGGAAGGAAGGGAAAATTAGTTCCCTCTGTTACAGACATTTAGGCACGACTGGAGGAAGAGGTTTCCAATGCCACTGGGTGAGGAAGGCAGAAGAGAGCATGACAGAATCCTAGGAAGGAGCCAGAAGTTTATGTAAGCTGAGCCCCATTTGCAAGAAAACCATCCCATCCCACCTCTGCTGCGGCTCGGCTGCTTACTGTTCCAAGCATGTTTTAATTTTTCTTGGAAAACACCAAGTGCCTTCTGGTTCCTCTCAGTTTGGAAAATAAAAGCATGTATTTTTATGATACTTTACTCTCTTTCTCATAGGATTTCTGTAAAATYGTTTACCATGCAATTGAAAAGACAGTACTTCTGAGAGCACTGTTTACATCTGGGCTAGCAGGCACTGAAATGGAGGGACCAATACGTCTCCCTCAGATCCCGTGCAAAACTTGCAAGTCTGTCCTGTTTAGACTCAAGCTTTAAAGTCTCTACTCTGCACCTACCAAATGGGAACAAGAAAAGAAACCGGAGCCTCTGGCAGGTACCTCTGTCTATCAAGCTTCAATAGCTTCCACATCCTCTACTGCCTGCACCAGGATGACAGAGCACTCCTTGGCCAAGGAACATTATGGATGATGCCTCCCGAAAAATAATGGAACGGCCTTCAAAAACGGCTCTGAAAGAGCCGGGCTTGGAGAGTACTCAGCTTTCTGAAATTGTCAATCTGCTGTTTTGTTACATGGAATAAAAGCCTGCAAGAGCTCTCTGCCTACCCATCCACACACAGAATTATTGCTGCAGCTTTGTGAAACTTGCTGCTGAAGTTTTGTCAGTGCGCAGCTTCATCAGAAAACATCACTGAGAAAAATACCCTTCCTCCTGAAGTTAATGAGTAAAAACTCATGGGTAAAATGGGTTAAAATAGGTAAAAACAAATGATTAAATGCTGCAGGATTTCATCTTAATACMAATTAGGGCATTAAGTCATAAGTTTCTTTTGTTGAAATAAACATCTTTGGCAATCTCAAGGCAAGCGCCTGCAGGAACTGCTGCAGAGCAACTGTCTCACAAAGCAATTCCCACGTTCAGGAGAAGTTCGTCCCCTATTCACTCTAAGGTAAAATTGCCCACGTAGAAAGAAATAATGCAAGGTATTATGTCATCTGGTTGCAACTTGCACTCCCTGCTTGGAGAAGCTAGAATTTTCCAGGGCTACCTGTACTGGGGAATGGGGTAATAACTCACTTATTCATTAGAACAATAGCTTTTACAGTTTATAATACCAATAAACATCACCTCCCACAACCCTTTTGCAGAAGCCGCCTTCTAAAGAATAGCAATCCTTCACCATATTTTTAGAATATGTTTAAATTACTTTTTAACCAACATCACCAAGGATTCAACCTCAAAATATAATTAAACTTGTTTTTATTTGGAGTTTTATATACACACATAAAGTCACAGAGTTATCTCAACTGCAAGATACTTTTGTCTAAAAGAAACACAAGCAAATGATGAATGACACATTAATAAAGCACTTGCTAATTCTCCTTTGGAGACTGGATATTGTAAGCATTTTGAGACACTAAGAAGTATAATTAGTTGTAGGAACAACTAAATACTAATTACAAGTTGGGGGGGAGGAAAGCATTACTATAATTAGGCTCATTTGTTTCACTTGGAGAGGAAAAATCCTCAGTAATCTGGAAAGCAGTGCAATATGATTAACGTTATTTTCTTGACATARCTAAGTTAGGAAATGAAGTCGCAACAGATAGTTTATTTGAAAAAAGAAAGAAATTTCACAGTCCTCTTTACATAAGGTCAACTGCTCCCAACCAACACTCCTACGTGCGGTGCTTTCTAGAAACAAATTCTTCTTCATTTCCCCTTAATGCTACACATAATTGAAAGGACAAGAGACACTAATTTGATCTTCCTAAATGTCATACACTGAAGAGTGAATGAGGGATAACTCAGGTGCAATTCTGATGGGCACACCTTTTCCAGCCCCTACATTAATCAGTGCCAGGAGATTTCCAAGTATTTTGTTTCACAGGGTCTTGTAATCAATGAAACATTTAGTCTGCAACAACTTGCCTGTTATTCCTCATTATGGCACAGAAAAGCTGAAAACATTTCTTAATGACCATGACACATTCAAGAGCACTGGCTGACTATCACTGTATAAAATAAGGACTGTATCTCTAGAAAAAGGCTATCAAGCTTGAAATCTGACTTACTGTTTTTTTTTTTTTTCCAAAAAGGATTTGCTCATCTTTGTAATTCTGTACTTGTAAAAACTTTCAGTTGCATTTGTAATTTAGCATATATTTTAAAACTTATGAGTAAGTAACCTTGCAATATGAAAGCTGCAGGCACAGAGGCTCTGCAGAAGGGAAAGTCGTACCGTGAGTGAAGGGATTTCAGTATAGAGCAGGTAATTTCAGATGCCTCTTCATAGAGAGGGCAGTAAGCACATTTTATGATCAACGAGAACATTTTATGATCAACCAGGAATACAATGAGGTTAATCCTCTGCTTGGTGATTTTGAGTTATCCAGAGAGTCTTCCCAAAAGTCACATCAGTAGACAGAGAAGACCTTTCAACAACTCATTCCACGCCATGAAATATCCCCAAACAYGCTTCTATATCATTTTTTACCGAGTCATTTTTTACTATTACCTGGCCTTATATATTTCTACTAGATGTTTACAGTTTACCTGCATTGACCTGCTGTGGCATCACACATTTAGAGAGGCCAGGGATGTATTCCAGGATTTTTCACAGGCATAAACATGACTGTGAGTAACTGCTCAGGTGCAATGGACTTTATTTTATGAATGTGAACTAAAAGCAGATTCCTATCTCTGTAACTAACTGCTGTTCCTAGCAGAGGGGAAACAAAAAATGGGTCTTATTGCAAAGACCTGCCCACTGCAACTGTTCTCAAACAGGGACATGACACCAAACCTGCTTGCATGCTGTGCCCGCTCTCAGGGCTAGGGCTCATTTCAGACATTAATTGCACTAATTGCTGCAGTCCCAAACACCAAAAGAAACCATTTTATGCAAGGACTCCATTCAAGCAAAAGGAAACATCAGTGCAAGGCAGATGAAATCAAGGAGCTGCTGTTAATCTTGGGAGGATCACGTGCACTACAGCCCAAATCAAGTGCTTGGAAGATCTAGCAGGGGCACAAATGCAAGGAGTAGTAGCTGGCCCTAATTAACTGCTCTTAGGGACCATTTGCAGAAGGAAAAGTTTGTGCAAAAGCAAACGGTGATGCTAGAAAAAGCTCTCATTCTCTGCTGCCAGGTAACACAACGCATTTTATTCTTACAAGGAAACTTATTATTTCTCCAACMTAAAAACAGGCTTAAAACAATTTATGGTCCCTGGCCATCCTACCTGCAGTGCTACGTGAAAGCAAACAAAAGCAGCCTGCTGGGTGCTTCTTTGGAGCCGACTTGATCACATGCAGCTGCAGGTGATGGGCTCCTGCCAAGCATCATTGCACTCCAAAGAGACCRTTTTATCAGTCAGACTTTCAAATGGGCATTTATATTCATTGAACACCTCTCACTATTAATGCAAGGGAGAACATACCCTCTCTGCACCTCTCCCAGCTGAGACACTGGGAGGGATTGAGGCATTATTCATAGTGGTTTTATTGCTTACAATTAGAGCTGTTGGACCAGCTCTTCAGCTGGCATAAACTAAGCACAGCTTTATTTAAATTAAAGAAAACATGCTAATTTACACCAAATTATGATTTGTACTGAAGGCCTCTAAAGATTATTTACTTGATACATCAATTATTTTATGTAATTAAACTAGCTGATAGTGTTTCTTTGTAAATTATGAGCCAACTATGATGTTTATTCATTGAAGTGATCAGACTGTTAGGCAACATTCATGGGTTTTTTTTTTTACCTCCTCTCTCTCTCTCGTGAATTTGGAACTTATGAAATCTGTATGGAAAACTTCTTGCAATGTCCGATTTGGAATTTCTTGCACATTYAAATTTATCATGGCTTTGAAGGAAATTTTAGGGAAGAAAGACACGGTGGCTGAGTTCTCTTGCATTCCCATTTTGTAATCACTGCATAGTTGCATAGTACTGATGCTGAGCTCCTGCTTTGATAATGCTCCTAAAGAGTTGAGCTGTAAAATTATGACCACCATGCTGCCCAAAGGAATTTATTTTGCTCAGTTTTGCCTTAGACTTGCAGCTTTGTGACCAGTCATTTTATTAATGTACACAGTACAGTGGGAGCAGTATCTCTGTTTTGTGCATTCCAAAGGGCAAAGCAGTTATAAYGTTGAAACTCAATATACAGACAGAGAGGTCAGTGTTTTGCTAGAATATCAGCAGTACGGCACAAATTTCAGTTGTTCTGTAACGTGTCTAATAACTTTGTTATTTAATTTTCTTGCTCTGACCACAAGCACAGTCCCCGTTAAGACCACAATTTTTAGGTAGGTATAGGATAACTAGGAAAATAACTCTTTTTCCTATGGTTCATAAATATTTTATGATGAAGCAGAATCCATTTTCATTAACACAGTGAAAAGAATCTTGTATCTCTTACCTCTTATTTCTGTCTTCTATCTGCAAGATATAGACCATGTCATCGGCAGCGTGAAGTTTGGAACTGCTGTCTCCCCATTTCAACTTCAGGCTCTGAGGACCTGCTGCAGCACACTCGAGCCGAGGAGGTAACGGTGGTAAGGGCCTCGTTTTTGCTTTAATAAAGTTGCTAAATGGCCCAGCTCCAATTTCATTGACAGCTTGGATCCTGATCCTGAAGTAAACAAGAAAAAAGGTAAATGTTAAATACGGTGCTTTCACAATGTCCTGGGTAGAAGAGTTCTCAAGAAACCAAATAGTCTTCTAGAGCTGACTGCTCCATCACTTAATACTGTGTCCACCCACGGTAATCAGTATCTTGCTCTGGCAAAGTGAAAGGCTCTGTAACATAATTATTAGCATCCTGTTTATATCATAAGAACGGCAATGAAGATACCAAGAAATGCAATCAGGCAGAGGAAGGAAGACCTGGCAAAGCAGCCTCCGAGCCTGACGGCAGCCCCTTTAACCACCTGCAAAACAGGAGCAAACATTTGGCTTTTGGAGTCTTACACGAACTGGATACAGTCGTCAGMGTTGAATTATATATTAGAGCAAATAAAAATTTGCTTCAAGTCACTCTGACAAGGTGGACGAAAGCTCCCTAAAGTCATCCGAACCAGTTTAGGGGCCTTTAGAAGAGAAAAACAGACCACCTACGTAGTCAGAGAAGTTTTAATTTGGAAGCATTCTTAAAACTGATCTTCTAAATTCTATTTATTTCTTAAGGTAATGACTCCTGGCCTTTATTCTTCTGTCACTTGCTTATCCCTTTGCACCATTGTTTAGTAACTGCACAACAGGAATCTGCTTATAGGAACATATGAAAATACAGTAGTATTTTACTGTGGTAACATCAACAGCAATATCACAAACAAAAATCACATCACAAAAAGCAAAATATCCATTTGGAAAGAGGAGTTTAGCTAGGAGATTCTGCAGAAACACAAGTACTGATAMAGATGAGCCTAAAAGGTTTCAAGCGCTTTTTAAATCAAAGCAGAAATAAGAGATAACAGCCTGGGAAAACTAATAGGCTTTTCAGACAGCAACCCAGTTCAGAGAGCTGGACAGATGCCATTGACTTTGAAACTCCTGTGCACGGCTGCCTAGTATTTTCTCATGGGAAAAGATTCTCTATAATAAATGTTGCCTCTTCTCAAAATGGTTAGCCACCAGGAAGCCAGGAGATCCCTGGCAAAGGTGCTAGAGGAAGCAGGAAGAAAAACTGCTATGCCATTAGAACTACCTTGGGGTGAGCACAAATATTTTGATTTACAGAACACAAATAGCTTATTAAACAAATATTTTTCTCTGAAGAGTAAATATGCATTTCTACATTAGAAAAAYCTTATTAAAATTAATAATGAATTAATAAAGGAGCAAAATATCCTTAGCAGAATTCCCTCTTCCTTTAATACTTAAACAGTCTATAACAGCTTGTGGGTGGAGCAACCCATTTGATAAAAAAAAAAAAAAGGGTCAAATTCTGTCCTCCAATTCATGCTCAGAAAGCACTTTTCTCATTCAAAGTGGTGTCAAAAGGACTGAATTTGGCTCAGAGTTTTTCTTGACAATGTTGGTGGATGGCTGCAGGGAGAAACACATGAGGGAGTCACAGGATGTCATGAATTCCCATGACAGTCAACACAGCCATTTCCACCCATGGAGAAGGCATCACTGGTGGAAAACTGGTGAGGTGAGAACTAAGCCCTAAACTTTGCAAAGTTCAACAGTAACCACTATTATTGACATTGACATTGCATTCAAAGGTGTAATAAAGAATCAAATATTTCTAAGAAAATAAAAACAGGATTTTAAAAATAGGGAAAAAAGGCTTATAGAAGCAATCAAATTAAAAAGAACAGAATGCTTCTCTACCACAAAACCCACACCCCTGCTCCTGAATCAGCTGCTCAGCAGCATCTCCATCGCAGACGCTTCCTCGTGGCCCTGTCCCAATGCAGGACACACTGCAGCCCGGGGCACAACCCACAGCGGGAAAGAGGAAACTCGCCAAATTAAGTGCAGCCAATTACTGTGACACAGARCAGGTACTGGGAAAACCAGGTTTTGGTTAGCATCTCTGTATCTACATCAAACTAGGGTATAAATACGTAGAATTATTTGCAGTGAAAAGCACTTTTGAATTCCTTTCAACATCTGAAGATTTGTAACTTAAAGCATCCTAAAAACCATTCTGGAAAGATCATTTTCAAATCTGACAATCACAGTCTCAAAGTCAAAACATAAATAGCAAATTTAAGTATATTACCTAGTTCTCTATGGGCCCCAGACAATATTATTTATATTCAATCTTGCATTTTCCCACTGCTTATTTTCAACATTTAAAAACAAAAATCAGACTGCTTATTTTCAACATTTTAAAAAAATATCAGACTAGGCGAATTTAGAAACCATCCAACGACCTTTCATAGACCATGATATCTTGTAAGATTCTTGACCCAGGAAAACAAACACACTGAGCAGGATGCTATTTTCAGCTCAGTCATAAAGTCCTTTGTAGAGTATTCCAGCAAACTGAAAAATCACTTTTGAATTAATCTGATGTCGCTTGACATGAGAAGAGTTTGATTCATCCGTTCCCATAAGCCCGGCGCAACTGGCGGCTTTCTAAGCACACGGTGCCTCCAAAACCCTGAGTTTTGAGTTAAAATGCTGCAGATTTCAAAAAGGAGGAGAGGCTGCACAGCCTTCCCCACCATCTACCTGCACACAATGCCTGACAATTTTTCAGCCTCACAAATCCCTACTCAGATAATATAAATTCTGATTTACAACCCATTGCTAACTGCTGACTTGAGCATCCAAGAGCTCCCTTCCCATCTCCAAAGATCTTCCCTTCAACACAGCCTAGAAATGACTGAACATTTTTATTCCTGTAACAAATTGAAACTAACTGCTGCTTTTAAGCTTTAATAAGGCTACTGTGTTTATTACTAACTTGAAAGCAGCATTCTTAAAAGTTGTTTTGCAGTGAAGTATTGTATCAGTAGAGCACAATTAACTACAGAAATTACCCAGGAAAGCTTGGGAACAGAGTGTAACCGAATATTGATATTTCTCTTGCCGCTTAATACTTATTTATTGCAGAATATGTATTAACTCGCTTCCAGTTACATCAGTTCGCAGAAAGCTGGTCCAAGTATTATTACTTTATTATCAGAGCTTCCTGACTACGGCAGTAAAACGGGAGGGTTTTGGGGGACACAGCCTATTTCTGCAGCTGTCCAGAGTGGATGTTTATAGGTGGCTTCTGGAAAACAGTTGCCTTTTATAAGAGTTTGTACCAGATTCTGGAGGATTCCCCTCAAAATCATGTGTCCATTGGTTACCAGGCACATACACAACTTGGCTTTGATGCCTCCAGCATGTTTGGGGACGCAAATCCTTCTTCCCCTTCCATCCTTGGCTGGATCTGCTACCAATCCAGAAACAGCTTTGGCAAGATGTTCCAGAGACTCAAACCCAGCAGTGTTTGGCTTGTTTGGTCTAGGAAAAACAAAGCCTGGAAGAAAATATGTTTGCTGCATTTAAGCRTAGCAGGGAACAAGCACTTGAGAGAGAGGAGAGCTCGTTGTGCTAAACAAAGTTGACAGAAGAAGAAAAACTGCTGGGGAACAAATTTAGAGAATGAGATCAGCACCGTTCTGAAATATCCTCCCAATTCGAATGGGAGGACAGAAAAGGAGGAGCAGGGAGGACAGAAACCCCCAGCATATTTTAAAAAAAAAGCTTAATAATTGTGTTGAAAGGAAATATATGGTGTCCTGACTCCCAGAGCAATTGCCTGGAGCTCCCTCCTGATGAGGAGCATCCTGGCAGGCCTGTTTTCCGAACACGTTACACCTTTGCATCTCTAAGGACACACAATTATCAGCAGCGTCCCATGTTTGCACCACAGCACTTCATTCCATTTTCTGCACCAGCAATTCCACTTCAGAGCAGCTCAAGGAGACTATTCAGGGCGGTTAATCAAAACTAACAATATTCTTACACTAACGTGGCCCCTGGAGCCTGAAATAGCACAGAAAACTACGAGTGTGTGTGTGTAAAGCGGTGTGTTTATTTATGGACATATTTATATGGGCACAGACATTTCCAGATTTAAAAAGTGGTGTATACAAGCTTAACAAAGAAACACAAATCAAGGAGTTCTCAATCCATCTGCTGATGAAAATCTCTCTTCAATGTGTCTCTTTTTACAAGCACACAAACTCTTCAAACTGCAGCCAGTGTTACAAGAGGTGCTGCTGCAACTTGGCTTCAGACACTTGGTCTTCCGTGACAGACACAAGACTTTGAGTTCATTTTTCTTATTTAAACAAAAATCTTCCACATTCTATTGCTCCTGATTGGTCATTTACTGGTTTGTACTGCACCAGTGCAGATGCAAGGGAGAGTGGGAGGAACATGGAAACAGGGAGGCAGAGGCAGGTCAGAAGCGTGACAGCTGGTTGGGGAGGTGGTTTTGTTCTCACCTACTTTAAAAATAAAAAACCCAGCTAGTTTTCAAAGTGAAAAACCCAGCTAGTTTTCAGCATGATGAGTTTTTGCAGTCTTTAATGTTGCAAGAAAGTTTTGCTGGCACCGGAGGGGACGATGCTGGAGGAGAAGGAACAAGAGGGTAGGACTGCTCTCTTTGACAACCGTATTTGCTTGAACTTACACCAAAATTAGGATCATTTAAAATAAAAACAAACCACAGCCAAAGACTGTGAAATCTACTTTTTAAAATAAAACACATTTTTTTTTTTAACAACCCAGATATTCTAGGCAAAGATCAGGACTCGCTGTGCTAGGCACCATAAGGACAGAAAATGAAAGCATGTCCCTTGCTTTAAATAACTTTTAGTATGAATATTTGTATTTTATTTGCTACAAGTTCTCTTTTTAGGGTGCACGGTAAAATTTAAAAACCGAACTTTTATTTAACTTCTAAAAGATCTGTAGGACTGTGACCCTTGAATACCACAGAAATTTTATTGTTGGTCTGTGCCATGTCTAATTTCAGAGCTGTGCAATCAGATGTCAGTATTTATTAGAATAGTACTCAAAATAGAATTTCTTCTGACATCTGCTATATTGCTGTTCATTGCTGGCAATCATTTAGTTTGTGCTTTAGCTAGCAGCTAGGGAAAAAACATTATATATGCTTAACATTAAAGTAACAATAAAATTTTCGCAATGCTATTTAGAAATAAAATTTAGACTCTAGACTATCATGAAGAAATTCATTTTAAACTCAGATTTTCTTTTCTTTTTCTTTATATGCTAAAAATAAAAAGTACAGCTATTCAAAAGCATACAAATAAAAATCCATAGCATGCAAATTGCTATCCACACCTAAGTCATCAATATAGCTAATACTAACCCTACAGACCCTTGGGATTTTATTGATTATCATCTGAGAAAAGATGACATGGCATTCTAATTCTAGCCGTCCTAGTTTGAGAGTTTATTTATCTACCAGAGTAGCTTGTGGAGTTTATTTATCTACCAGAGTGGCTTGTAAAGAAACATTAAAAAAGAGAGAGAGGTAAAGGAAGGAGTGGAAGAGTAAAAAAAGGGAAGAAAAAATAGTATTTGAACTTCCATATAGGAATTGTATCAGTCTGAGGGTCACTTTTTTTTCTCCCATAAACACTTTCCATGTAATACTAGGCTGTGCAATCTCATCCTGAGTTTCTGCACCACACCAAAAAAATTCTACTCACCGGTACGAGGTTTCTGGCAGCAAATCGTGGATGACGTAAGTGGTGACGTTCCCCACGGGAATGCTGCTGTCGCCRAGGTCAATGTTGTAGGCGGTGATCTCGGCCCCGTTGTTGCAGGGTTCCTCCCAGCTCAGAGCAAGGCACACGGAAGGGGACGTCTGGGAGGTGTCCACRGGCTCGTCCTCCAGCACGGAGAGGATGGAGACTGCGTCAGGAACAGACGCAGGGAGTTTGCAGGTGACTAGGTCACTGTAGGGTCCAGCTCCTGCCTCGTTAACAGCCTGCAAGGCAAAACATGTGTTTTTTTATGGGACAAATTCTCTATTTTGTATGTCAGTCAAGCTTGTAAGAGAGAACTCTGCGGTCAGGAACAGCTGCATTAATTCTCCAGAGAATAAGCAACTTTTAAATGATTTATGGCCTCCTTGTTAGAGCAACTACTATCTTCCTTTACTATTCAGAAACGTCACTTAGACAAATTCAAGAACATTTATTAACAGCCATTTAATCAAATTTAACAGTAGCCTTTTTAGCAGGAGCAAACTTTGCTTGGTAAGAGAACATGTCAGTCACCACGCTGTGGGTGACAGTTGGCATCACACTGTCCAACAAACTGGCCACCAAGCTGTCGTGCTGCCCTGTATACAAGAACCCTGCCTTGTGCAGAGGCCAACATCAGATACTTAATATGAGTAGAGTACCCCAGAAATAAAGGGCACTTTCGCTTGCTAACAGCTACACTAGTTCCTTACTTAAATAATTAAGAGCTAATTTCATACCAAAAGCTTTTGATAAAATACTCAGCATGGTGTTAAATCAGATGTGGTAAATGCTGTATACATTTCATTGAAATGGCATGGGAAATGCCTAGCACATATAATAACACAATTATTATATATGCTTGTATATAGCATCATAGAATTATCCAGGTTGGAAGGGACCCTGGGACATCATCTAGTGCAACCTGCTATTGCAAGCAGGGTCAGCAGTGAGTACCGACCAGCTTGCTCGCAACTGTGTCCAGTTCCATCTCAAAAACTACCAGGGGTTGAGAACCTACAAACCCCTTGGGCCCACTGCTATAATCCTTATTTACTCTCACAGTGACAACTTGTTTTACTTTTTTTTTTTCTTTCTATCTTGTTCAGACAAGATACTTCAAGTTGATCTACTCCAACTTCCGCCTAGAGTGAAACTGGACACGATATTCCAGATACCAATGGGGGACAAATAATGGAGAAGAACACAGACCACTACAATGTTGGCCAACATGGTACAGTCTGCACTAGGCCAGAGAAATGCTGAAGATACAGGCCTCCAAAAGGAGCTTTTGACATTGCCCTGCAGATCACTCAAAGCATTCGTTTCTTTGGCAGCTGGGAAAGCAAGTCCATATTCTCCCTCTGGAACGTGACTGACCTAGGAAACTGGRGTTTACAGTCTTTTCAGGAGGACTAGGACAGCAAGAAGGGGACATGCCAAATAGCTGCTTGGCTTTGGCTTCTTGCTTATGCCTCGTGGCAGTGAATAATTCTGTCTGCTCTGCATAGCACAAATAGATAGCCTTGCGTGCTGTTCTAGGAGGTGTTTTGTGCAACCAAAGAGATAATAAAGTTAGATTTGTCAGCCCTTTAAAAAGCCCTTCAAAACAAATCCTGCTCCAGGGACATCTTCTCTTTATCGAGGTGCTCCGAGAGCCGTTAGGAAGCACCTTGTCCTGTGATCTGCCAATGATATTATTTGTCTTGCCTCTAAACCAGGGCTGCCAATCTGTATCTTGCCCCAAGCAAAGCCTTTCTAGTAGTGCTTTTAACTGTTTTATTGGACAACCTTATCATCATAACTGATGGGAATTTCATTCTTTGCTTCCTACATATTTCCCCTCCCCAAAGTACAGAGTATTTCCCTTTGTAAGAGTCACAGTTGTGGTCAGGAACAGTCGTTACACCAGATGTCCCCTGAGCAACAGTAAAGACACACTGCATCCCCTGCAGTTATATATGCCCTATTCCTCAATTTTTTCTTCTTTACTGAGTTACTGTGGATTGAGATAGCAATGTTGTGTTTATTAGAAGTCAGACCAAAAGTTAGGGGAATCTTCATTTTTAAAAAGCAAAAAAAAGATTTTCTGTTAAAGCTGCTAACAGGTAAGAAAGGAATATTCTCCATGTTATTCAAAAACTCTAAGATTTCTGAAACTAGTTAACTTCCTTCTTTGTCCACAACTCATTCATTTTTGCATTTTTTCCCCCAAATTGTTCAAATGTATCTTATTCAAATGCTTATCAGTGTATTTTCTAACATAGCATCTCAAATGCTTCTGTATACAATACAAAGCTCAGATTTACAGAATGAAGCCCTTCAGAAAACACTGTGTGGTCACAAATTAAAACATCTTAGTGGTGGTGTGTATGCAATTTACCTTGGGTTTACACATTAAATTAAAATGAATGTGTTAAGACCTGGGTAGTTTGATGGAATTTATTTTAAACCACCAACTACAAATATCTGTCCCCTGCAAAGATCAAAGGCCCTCTAGAGCTGTCTCTGTTACCGTTTTACACATTGAATCCCCCGGGTCCCCACACCACTGGCCACAGAAGTGGCTCCGTGGTCCCATCCAGTCCTGCCCAGTGGATTCCCACTGCTTGCCTTCTCGCGTGGGCCCAACGAGCTCTCCAGCTCACACTTCGGTCCGCTCGCACCCGCTCCCTCAACTAGTTCCTCCTGACATTGCCAGGACGAGGCCTATGGCCATGGGCCGAAAACAGCAGCGCTCATTAGCACGTGGGGGGCCCTCACTCTTGGGCTTCTGGCCAGCAGCTAGAAAACCTCAATAATAATAATAATAGAAAAAGACCGCCCCGTTTAACAAAATGTACAAGACAACTCTTGACCAAAGCACGTTGTCCGATGAAAGCAACGAGTCTGGGTGGTCCCTGTGCTGCCAGCTGGGTGCGTACGTGAACTTTCGGATGGATTTACTGGTGGTTTTCTGTCTTAGCATACAAATAAATCTCGCAGAAGAGAAAGCAAGAGCATCTTGTGCAAAAAAATGTTTTTACTCCATTCCCATTTACTTCCCATTACTTCCTTTCTACTTTTTTTTTCAGCAGACACGAAGGCGGAAAACATACACTTTGCAAATCTAAGAGACAAGATGTTAAAGATGAGGATTATGCTTTCTGGCAGCTACAGCTAGGTACATAGCAATCTGCTAACTGGTTTGCTTCATTCGATAAATGAAACAGATGTTGGAGTATATTACTTAAGTTAGGGCAATCTTCAACATCCTGTGAAAAGTGGGACATAGCTGTTGTTTACTTAACAGTTCCCAGAAAGAATAATTTTCTGGAAAGAATCTAGAACACAATAATCTTATTTTAATATCAGAACATAGTGCATGAGTGGCTGTTAACAGTAGTATTCAGTAAGGATCAAGCATATGATGTAGGAAAGCAATTTCTGAGAGCTAAAAGTTGTATCAACCATCTCACTTTCAACTGTGCAAAATCTAAAGTGTCTGATTATATAGACAAGAGCAGTCTGCACTGTTTAAAATACAGATACACTGATTGTGACTTGAACACTTAATTTTCTTGTGGTTAATAATGAAAATAAAAACACAGCAGAAGAAAATTGGTTTTACACCTTAGATGGCAATGCATGCAAGAATTCACAGAAAAGAACTGTCAAAATCCATACCTGGAGCCTACAGCAGTAACGTGCTGCTGCTGACAACTCACTTATTTCAAAACTGGTCTCTGTGCCGCTATATACGAGTTCTAGAGACTCCTCATCTTCTCCCCACTCTAATCTGTATTCAGAAATGTCAGCACCGGAACATTCAGGACTCTGCAACACAAATATTTATGTGGTTCAACTCATGAACAGACACTTCAGATTATTCTTTATGCAGTGAAACACAATGAAGTCACTTATTATTATATTAATGCACAATTACCACAGCAAATGGACACACGCTGAACTAGTGTTGTATCATAGGTTACTGAAACGGGCCAATTTTGCACAAAAACTACCTGAAAGAAACTCACAGAAATGAGAATGTGTATGCTGCTTCCATAGCACAACTTTGCTTTTCATCAGGACACTCAGTAATAAATTGTCTCTCCGTGGCTTGGCAGAAGCCCCGTCTGGAGACACAAACCTCATCAATCTAACCTAGCCTCCCTGGTGCTCTAAAGCACAACTGGAAGAACTAGCCTGTAAAAGCCTTAAGGAGCTCYTTGTGGGTCTGGAAAAAAGAAAACCACAGCAAATGAGGGGCCTGCAGCAGGCTTTTGGTGAAAGTCAGCTATCCAGCTAGGGGTCAAAGTATGGGATACGGGAATGTGGATCGGCATACCTTAATAGTTGCAAAAAAAATCCTACAGGATTTGTATATCCCCAGTGGTTCCTGAATTTGCTAGAGATGCACTAGAGCAGACATAATGGCTTGGCTCCCCCCAAAGCCCCYGTATCTTGTTCACTGCTGCACTGCACAGATTGGGAATCTCTTCTCTATGGGCACTTCAAAGAAAACATACTCTGGGACAGACAAATGTCTGGCAATTACAGCATGCAACAAGCTCTCTTTTTTTCTCTCCAACAGGGAGAAAACAAAAGAAAACAAAAAACAAACTAGTAACTGAGAAAATTAAATAAAGAGTCATCCACTTTAGCAACAGCAAATTTGTCAGGATGACTATTCATTACTTGGAAAACAAGGATAAATGATGGGYTCAGCAGAGGAGGCACATGAAACTTCCACCACAGGGAGGCTATTTCCAATAAGAGGATATAGAGCATCATTACACACCATAATGACCACCCTGAAAAAACACCCAGCGTTCACTAGCGTCGTCTAAGAGCTTCTAGCTATTAGCAGGAGCTCGTAGCATTAGCAGAAACACYGAGAACTGCTAAGCTGGAGGACATGAGAGGAGCATCTTGGCATGTGCAAATTTTTGTGATAAAAGTGTGACCACCTTAACTGAAATTTAACTTGAAAGTCATGATTTTAAACCCATGTGCAATAAAGGCATGGTAGGCTGCAGGGCAGGCATCACGGGGTGCTGTCTTTATAATGTTGCAGGCAGAAAGGAACAGTCCTCAAACCTCAACAGTCCTTTGCTGTTTTTCATTATTGTCCTGATCAGTTAGAAAGTAATATGTCATTTAGGAAACCCTAAATATTGCAAACCATAGTTTTCCTTCCAAAGCTTCAGTTTTAGTTAGAATTAACAAATATATCCTGTATATAATTAGAGAGCATTCCAGAAGCAATGCAGCATTCACTCATGGCTGGGGACAGCAAATATCTGTTCATGTACTCAATTAAAATATAACATTAAAAAGATTAGTGCAAATTTATCTGAGCTTTACAAAATGTTGCAAAAAATATTAACAATCTTCCCCAAAACATGACAAAATTGTGACTGCTTCGTTTATAACATAAAACTCAGATTACACTTGTGTCTGGATATGCTGGCAGCACAAATCCATATATTTAGTATCTCACTAACATTAGTAGCTTCCTTCTCAACACTGCCCATGTTAAGAGCCATCCTTTTGTAGGTGACACAGCTGGTTTCCAAAGAAAGTTTCTGGCAGAATCACAGCTCCATATCAGAGCTTTATGTATGACAACATCCCTTCTCTTCTGTCTTAATTACTTAACACACTTTATTATAATGACATCAATCGACTACTCGGGGTTTCAGATATGATTTATTTAAAAAAAAATTCCAAGTCTAAACTCCTAAAGGGTGGAAAGAGAACACATACAAACTTAAATCAAAGTAAATATTTGGGGAAGAGACAAACAGTTTCTGGGGGAAAGCTGAAACATAAGCATTCGAGCAGAGTTAGCTTCATATCAGAGAGACTAGCTTCATCCAAAATCAAATATTTGGCTTCATAATTCCAGCCCAGAACATTCTGACATACTAAAAGCCTGCAGAGAGTGTACGTCTAAACAGAACATCAGTCTGCTGTTTGGTGCCAAGGTAGGAGGTCTCGTATGTCCACATCCCAGGTCTGGATGACTCAGGATCAACTTCATCTAATTTTTTGCAGAGAAAAGTGAAGACATTTTTCTACAATAACRCAGTTTGTGCATATCTTTTTTTTTTTTAATTAGAAAAATTCTAAACTAGTTAATAGCTCTTGAACTGGCTTTAAAATCTGCAATGACTGAATTGGGCTGGATAAGCAAGAGAGAAATTAAACACTTGGGGGAGGTGACTTACCTCCCAGCTCACAAGTACGCCTGTGTCGGACAGAAAGGAGAGGGAAGGTGCTCGGCACTGGCTGGGTGGTCCCGCTGCCGTGGTGATCTCTGTGGCTTCAGAGTATGGCCCATACTGGAGGGGACAGTAATCTATACGTTAATATAGGAGCATGCACCATCTCTTGCTCCTTAAAGATCTTTTAATAATATAAAGCATAAAGAAAATTTCTGAATGCAATAAACTTTCTCAAGATAAACTGGGCTTCCAATACTCAAGGCCAATTATCRGAGCCCAGAATTAGATCATGGCCATATAAATTATTACAAAAAAACACTCAGAGTGATACTCTCTCAAAGAGAAGCAAGACCCACCCAGATCTCACTGAAACAACAGGAATATTTCAGCAGAATTCAATGGTCATCAGATCAGAATTTCTGATGAATGTAGGAGGGGTCTATCTTCCAGGGAGACCATAAAAAATATCAAATAGAAAGCCCATATTTTTTCAACTTGAAACAAAAATAGTCATTAACAATATAAAGATTCCTCAAAGCATATCAATATCTTCGTGAAATTTCAGTGCTTGCTTTTATATAATGAAGATTTTTAAAAACTGGAGGAATGCAAAGGAAGAGCAATAGAGATTCCTCTTTTTACAAGCAGATATGACTATCAGTAGAGACTTAGCATATTGTGGTTCAGGTGATTTTGGCCATTCAAATGACTTTTTTAAAAAGAGTAGTGGATTCAGAACKGCACATCCTCGTCTAAAATTCCTTTAGGAACTTCTCTCTATCTATTTGTCTGCCGGACKTTCATCTTTCCGTTCATGAGCGCTAACATCATTCCATCCAAGCATCACGTCCTTGGCATGCCACAACCTCCATGGCACAAAAGGTGAGCCACCCAAACGTACCCCACCGTCGTTCAGAGCCCTCACTCTGAACCGGTACGTCGTGCCAGGGAGGAGGTTGCTGACCGTGCACTCCAGATCTGGACCGTGATACACTTCAGAAATTACTTCCTCAGGTTCTGTCATTTCTACACTGTACTCGGAGACAGGACAGCCACTTTCTGACGACGGGGCATCTAGGAAGAAATCATGTATTAACAGCATTATGATATATGCAGGGAAGATCAACTCTTCACATATCATAGACACATATACTATCAGCAGTTATTTTCCCCTTTCAGAGACTTCTTTAATTAATTTTAACCTAAATATTCACGTGGTTGGACCAATGACTTGCAAAGAGTTCTCCAAGGCAATGATCTCTGTGAGCGAGAAGCGGTGTTAGATACCCCAAATCCTCAACTACTTGAGCACAGTAGCTACCCCTCTACTAGTGACCYGTTATGGTTTCCTATCTGAAAGGTGGTATTGTGTGGAAAACAGAAAACAAACGAATAAAAAGAAAATCCCACAACACATACAACTTGGACTACACATTGGTCAGTAAGTCACAGAATTCACAGAATTCACAGAATATTTAAGGTTGGAAGGGACCTCTACAGATCATCTAGTCCAACCTTCCTGCTCAAGCAGGCACAC